CTGAAATTATGGATTCTGCAGGCCACATTCTATAAGAAAATTTTTTTCCGGGTCGATCTGAGACAATTTTTTCTCGGGGCTCAAAAAAAGCCAGTGTATTACCTTCCTTTTTTACCAAAAATCGACTTCACCAAAATTTCTTGGGAAAACACTTTTTCTTATTAACCCTAATTTACAGGTCTGGGGTGAATCGCACCCCACAGCCACTTTCAATGTCCATAAATTTTTTTTCTGAGATTATGCATGGAAACACGGCGCGCAGGTGGCGACAATTAGAGTGGGGTTCGTTCCACCCCACGCCCGTAAACTTGAAAGTTTTAGTGGCCAGTAAACTAGGGTTAAGTCTAAAAACGGGAGAATAAATTTGATAGTAAAGACATAAACAAATATCTTTGTTTTGCCTAGTTTTTATATTTTAATCTGAAATAAGTTCTAATATACATAATAACGAGGTGAATATGAAAAAAAATGAAGCTAATATCACTGACTGGATGATATTAGGAGTTAAATTAAATTTGCTTGGTAGTCAAATGTTTTTACTTATTCTCCAGTTTTTGGACTTAAAATGAATTTAAGACTAGAATATAAAAACCAAGAAAACCAATATGTTTCGAAAACTATCAGAGATAGGTATAGGACATTTTTATCAAAAGTTGAAGATTTTTGGAAGAGCTAAAAGATGACAGAAAAATATACAGGGTGTTCCATTTAAAAAACGTGAGATTTTTTAATATGAAGTCTTGCAACTTTAGACCTACCAAAAAAACACCTTGTAAGCTATTTTTTTTAATGTTTCATAGTAGATGTATTTATTTGACTTTTACTTTACCCAGGATAAAAGATGTAGAACCTGTAATCAATATTTAAGTAATAATTTTTATAATATATTGACGCTTGCAAATGCCCACTTTTTCTTAGAAATCAAATTATCTTTAAAACTACTAATTTTTCGGACATTAACCATATAATAAAAAAGTCGTACAGTTACACGTAGAATTAAAAATGCATTCAAATACAGGGGGTTCCATTTAAAAGATGCACAATTTTGGCACCCTACTTTGTGAGCGCACCGTGTATAATTCCAAATATTTTAAAATGTAGAGAATATTCAACCATATAATAATACAAAAGCACTCTATCGAAAAATCTTATCTTCAAGGCATTAAGTTACTCCGCACAATCGTTAACTCACCCTGTACAACACAAAAGTGAGTCTATTTACATATCATCGAGCGAACTTTGTCGTGTAGTGAAAACTAGTGGACGGCGCATTTATGTTCAATTGAAACGGTTACCACGGTTACCACGTAGAGATTGGGCTTTAATCTGCAAAATGCGGATATATTTAGACCAGTAAGCGGATTAAAAAAACAAGTTTATCAATCAACACTGTGCACACGGAGCCTTATTAGATCGATAGTAAACGGCAACCGGCAAAAGGCTAAAGACAATTAATTCGTGCATTTGTTGGCCCTAAGAAATTTGGGTAATTTTGGAAGCTTTCACACTGCGGAACGATCATGGTAATAATTTTATTATTCCAGTAAATAAATCAAAGTTCGACAAATAAATTGCGAGAAACCGGAAGCACGGTTTGTTCCGGATTCAAATTCGTCAACCATCTTTCAACGAGTAACCAAATTTTTACCTCGTTCGATTTTTAATTTTCCAAATCGCCTTGGGGTCATTGATAAAATGTAAGTTATTTTGAATTTCTTGCATTGTGTGTGCAACCATAGGTGTCGATTTTTTCGGATGTTGTATAAAAGATTTATGTTTAGAGACATTCCTGAAGAGTTCGACCTGCAGGAATTTATCCTGATTGTGTATTTTTTATGAATGTTCGGTAGATCCAAACCAAAGATTTTGCTAGTTTTTTTCTCATTAATTGTAAAGTTTTATTTGCATTTCAGTAATACCATTCATTTGTGTGGGTTAAATTTTATTTAGCAACCAGAGGCGCGTAAATTAATTTTGATTAGACCAGGTGTTTGATTAATTACAGATATCAAAAAAATCTTATTATCATTCATTAAAATCACGATATAGGAATTTAAACTTTATTTTGTATTATAATTACATGAAATACATCAATACTTTAAATAACAAAAAAATTTAAAGGAAACTTGAGATGGAATTTCCAACAAGTCAATTTATATGAGTGATCAAACCAGATAATAAGGTTTTAATTTCCAGATTGTAAGTGGGGATAAAGAACCAACTTTCTGCAAGGTAATAGTCTTTGAAAATTTATTCATTACTGAGCTAGCCGTGGTATTAACTATTTCATTGCAAAAAACTAATTGTTACAGTAAAATCTTTACCAGTACCGCAGAGAATATTTACATTCTACAAGGCGGACCAGTCCAACTTATCAAGGCCATAACCGATCTTCGGAGTGCAATGAATTTGAAGTTGCCACTTTAAATGCTGTCGTCTCTGAAAAGGCAAAGAGATCTACATTAGAAATTCTAATAGGAAATTTAAAAAAATAGGGAAAATTAAAAAAATTCAAAGTGCAATAAATACTCACGTAAGAGAATTAATTGCGCTGGATAGGTACTCTGGGTAGTTTCCAGTGCAGAACCAAGGGACTCGCACAAGTGACGCAGAAACAGAAAGTCAAAATTGGTGAGTGACCACAGCTACTGTTTTGTAGTTTGTAGTTTGTATACTAGCAATTCCAACCAAAATGCTAGGATAGAAGCGCTGCAGCCGATGCCAAAAATGACGAAGAAAACGTACAGCTCATCCAATCCCAATTGTTCAATGTCACTCAAATCTACCATCACTGATTTAGCATACGCTTGGTATCCCATAAGGGTGTTCTTTTCGTTGATTTGGTATATCCCGGACTCCATCAAACGTACGATGACTTCGTCAATTGTACGTGTGAAGTAATGCCCCTGTCTCATTTGGATGACATGCTCTTCATCCCTTATGAGCATCGGGTCATAGATACTGTAAACGTATGATCGCATTTGATACTGTAAGATGTAGAGATCTAATTCCGGAGTCAATGCGACGCACTCACCTCCCACCAGGGCGCGTTCTGTTGGGTATGGTTTCCTGAGCGGGAAAAAAATTATTTTGCGCTTAATTTTTGAATACCTAGTGTTCCCAGATGGTTCGGCCACAAGTACAGGACGGTAACCTTCAACTGCACAAATCGGCATTTTTGAGTTTACCAAATCCTCTGGAGTTTTGATTGTCTCTTCTGATCTAGGAACTGATAGTAAGGTAAAAATATTTGCGGTAAGGGCAGTTTGCATATGGATGCAATAAAAAATGTAGATCATTAAAAAGCATTTTACTACTTTTTTCTTTGGTATTCTAGTAATGCCTAAGCCGAAAAGGAGCGACATCATACTACTGAAGGCTTCAATAAAGTTTGACGCAGCATATCTTCCATCGTAATCTACAAGACAAACCCACCAAGCTGTAATTGCAGACAACAACGAAACAACGAATAGGATCCAAGCTTCCCAATTGAAAATATACTTCAGCCTTTGCGCGATAGGTAGAACTTCCGCCCTAGGAGGCACAAAGAGGTTCCTGCACGTGTGCACCGGTAAACTCTGATCGGCGTACTGTGAAAGGTCCCTTTCGACAATAGTTGTGACCAATTCAGCTTGATTTACGATATCAGAGAAATTTTCGTAAACCGCTCTAAAGCGTAGGCCCAAGTATTCGACAAGAGCTTTAATTACAACGATGTAAGTGTGACAAAACATAGCTCTGCAATGGAATAGAGCATCTTTAAAACTCTTTTCCTGAAGAACCGCCAAATACAGACGACATCTACGCACGTTGGGTGGTTGCCTTTCCAAAAGTATGGTCACACTGGTCGCCTCACAACTTTCAGACTCGATTACACTCACCCTATTCTCGCAGTGGTTATCAGTGGGATTGGACGTGTAAAAATCTACGGATGTATCTGTGTATATGGCCACAATTGCACGCACAATGTCGTAGCTCCACAGCTCCAAAAAAAGTGACGTTAGATTTGCCGGTGGTAGCACGAAGATATACTTCCCCCTCGCTGAAATGCTTCGATTCCAAATCGCGCTCGAATTAAGCCAGCACAAGGTTTTCGACAAGGAGTGCTCGTTATCCGCTTGAATGGCCCAGTTCGTGCCGATCTGGACGTTATGCACGGGCTCAAGTGGATTGATCACAATTAACGGATTCCTCACTGCACTGGTCACACGGTCATTTCCAGAGCGGTCAGGGATAACGTAAATTGTTTCAAGGCCACCAAAGACGTGTTGGGATAAACGCGAAATGCAGGACCCGATTGCGACCCCATTCGCTAAGGCTGCACCTAGAAACATCACTATAATACACACACGCATTATAACGTTCCCGGGGGATGAACAAAGTTATACTGGAGAACGTAGTATCGTCCCCTGAAAACCTACACTCTAAATTGTACTGTTTTGTTCCATATCGAAGGGGGTTCCTGCTCTGTAATTTTCAGACAGCTGTAGATAATTTATGCTGGTCGCACGAAATATGAGCGTAGATGTTTCGGTATGTGTACCCACGAAATAGCAGGTTAACTGTCAAGTGTATGTAATTCTCTGTAAGTATAAAGAAAACTGAAAAAAAATTGATTTATGATGATAATGGGGAAAGAGGTAAAATTGTTTATTTTCGCCAGGAAGATACGTGTTCTCGGTTTTGAATCCACAATTTGTATGGTAAAACTTTGCACGGTTTCTGGTTTGATACTGAGAGTTTTTCACCTTAGCCTTTTACTGTTTTTGTACCTCGTAGCCAGTGCGAGAAACACGAAATTAACGAAATGGAATTAAATAAAGTAATTTTCACACAAGATTGCAGCTTGTATGCGCACAACACCAATATGTTCTGGAAATGATCATGGTCAGGCAGCTCTAAAATCAAACAAGCTGGCGATCCGGTTCCGGTTGATCCACCGATTTGAACTGCGACAGATAATTATGTCAGTTTGATGCGCCTCTGATTTTTTGGAATATTCTAAGAAAATTCCTTAAAAACTAAGAACCATCCTGAACTTTCTTGAAAATTCCTAAACCACTTTTCCAAAAATACTTGGAAAGATATTTCTAAAAAAATTATTAAGTATTTCGTTAGTTGATTTTTTTCTTTACCATATGCCGAAGAAGAGTTTTTAAGAACTAAAAGTCTTCAAAAGATTTATTTATTTATTCAACGTTATTCTTAAAACAGAAAATTAGTATTGCAATTCAAAGAGGGAATGCAAGTTGCATTATGGGAACTTTCAACAATTCTTTCAGGCTAGAAGAAATTTTTTATTTACTTTAAATATTGTTATTGAAATTATTTGTGAAATGCGTTTTAAATTAAATTTTCAGTAATTTATTGAAGATAACTAAATTGAATAGTTTGTAGAAAGTATTTAAAACTAGCTATCAACAGATTTCTCGAAGATTCCTGAATTGGTTTTCATGAAAGAGCTTTCATTGAAGTTCTGGAGGTTTCTTAACACGTTTTCAAGAAAAACTTAAAAAGAAGCTTCTACTAAAATTCTCGCCGATTTTAATTAAATGATTTTTTAACAGTTTTTCAAGAAACGCATGGAAATCGGTTTTCACTATCATCCTCGAGGATTCTATAGGTTATTATCTATAGGTTTCTTAAAAATTCTTAAACCGGTTTTAAAGAAAGATAAACACAAAGACCCATTCACACATTTATTGAAGATTCCAACACATTTTTTTTTTTTAAATCCTACAATCATTGCTGGATTTTTCATAAAATGATATTTTTGAATGTTAAAAAATTTATTAAGCACTACATATCGACATACTTCTTGTACATACCTCAACAGGTTTTCCAAAATTGCTTGGAAAGAGACTACTCCAAAATTCTTAACGATTTTTCATTACGTGATTTTTTCTGTGCAATATGAAAAGTTCTTAAGAACCAAAAATTATCCACCGATTTCTTGAAGATTTATAAAGTGGTCTTTAGGAAAGACTTGGAAAGACGTTTTTAGAAATATTCTCGATGATTTGTAAATTAAATGGGTTTTTAAGAATATTCAAAGAAAATTCCTTGGGATTATCAACCATTTACACATTTCCTCAAAATTCCTAAATAGACTTTCAAGAAATACTTGGGAAAAGGTTTTTACTAAATTTCTCGAGGATTTTTCAAGTGATTTTTCAACAGGTTTTCAAGAAAAACCCTTGAAAGCTGTTTTTGCAAAAATTCTTTAGGATTTTTTAATTAAATTAAATTCTATGAAACTTCCCAAGTATTTTTCATTAACTGATTTTCAAGATCTTGGAAAAAGGTTTTAAAAAAATTCTCTGACTTTAATTAAATGATTCTTTTAAAATATTCAAAAAAAAAAACTAGTAACCATCAAGTACGTTCCTGAAGATTCCTAAGCAGGTTTTCAAGAAAGACTTGAAAAGAGGTATCTACTAAACATTCTCGAAGATTTTTCATTAAATGGCCATTTAACAGGTTTTCAAAAAAGCCGAAAAAAGATTTTTGCAAAAATTCTTGACGCTTTGTCATTACTGATTTAGATTTGGAATATTTCCAATAAAATTTTTTAAAAACTAAGAATCACGAACAGATTTCTTGAAATTTCCTAAACAGATCTTCAATTAAGGCTTAAAGTGAAGTTCCTACTAAAATTTTGGGAGGGTAAAATTGATATTTCAACAAATTTTCAAGCAACAAGTGGAAAGAGGTTTTTACAAACATTCAAAAGACTCTCAAGGACTTTTTTGTTAAATGAATTTGTTTAAATATTCGAAGAAAATTCCTTAAAAACTAAGAACAACCCACAAATTTCCGGAAGGTTCCTAAGCAAAATCCAAAAATTAAAGAATACTTGTAAGGATTCTTAAAGATTTTTTGTTTAATGATTTTTCCTCCGAAAGATAGATAAAAGTCCTTAAGACATAAAAATAATTATTCGATTTCTTGAATATTTCTGAACAGGTTTTCAAAAAAGTCCTTGCAAAGAACTGTTTACAAAATTCTCTACGTTTTTATTATTAAATTTAAATCTATTAAACTTCTCAAGGATTTTTCATTAAGTGATTTTTAGCAGGTTCTCAAGAAAGAACAATTTTTTACAAATACTATTGTTAAGGATTGTGTAATTAAAGAATATTTGAAGAAAATTCGTTAAAAACTAAGACCTGTCCAAAAATTTTTTGAAGATTTCTAAACAGGTTTTCTAGAAAATCTTGGAAATGGGTTTTTACAAAATTCCAGATTTTTTAAATAACTTGAAGAGGTTTAAACAGGTTTTTTACTTGGAAAGAGGCTTCCACAAAAGATTTTTTACTAAATGGATTTTTCTGTGCAATATTCTGAAGAAACATCCTTAATAACTAAAAATTATTAACCGATTTCTTGAAGATCCCTGATTTTCAAGGAAGACTTTGAAAGAGGTTTCTATTAAAATTGTCAAGGATTTTTCATCAAGAGGTTTTATTTTTAAGACCTGGACGATATTTTACCAAATATTGTCGAGGATTGTTTAATGAAATGATTTTTCTTTAATATTCGAAGAAAATTCCTTAAAAACTAAGAACCATCCACAAATTTCCTCAAAACTGCTACAGCCTTTCACGAAAAACTTGGAAAAATGTTGCTACTAAAATTCTCGAGGAGGTATCGTTAAGCGAAGGTTTTCAAAAACGACCGTTGAAAAAAGTTTTGACAAAAATTCTCTAGGATTTTTTAATTTAATAAATTTCTATTAATATTCAAGAATTTTCCTCTAGGTGAGTTTTTAGCAGGTTTTTAAGAAAACGTTGGAAAGAAGTTTCTATAAAAATTCCAGGTTTCTCATAAGATATTTTAAGAAATTGCATAATACAGATTTCTTGAAGAGGTCTACACAGGTTTTCCAAAAATACTTGGAAAGAGGCTTCTACAAAAGGTTTTTCACTAGTCGAATGTTTCCGAAGAAACTAAAAATCATCGACCGATTTCACGAAGATTCCTAAATTGGTTTTCAAGAAATATTATACTTGGAAAAAACTTTCTACTAAAATTCTGGTGGTTTCATTAAGTGATTTTTTCCAAGTTTTTTTGAAGGACCTTGTTTATAAAAATTCTCTAGGATTTTTTAATTAAATTAAATTTTATTGAAATTCACAAGGAATTTTTCAACAAAGACTTGAAACGAGATTTTTAAAAATTATTAGAGGTGTTTGCAGATATTATTGTTAAAATTGTAATTAAATGAATTTTTTGGAATATTCGAAGAATAATAAAATAAATAAATAAAATACCATTCGCAAATCTCATCGGGCTGAGACGGGTGTTGGAGGTGGGGACGTAAGCAGCAGATAGGGCTGCAGAGGCGCGAGCTAGGCGTACTGGGCACATAAGGACGCTCATTTTGGTACCACACACGAGGGGGTAGGAAGCTCTTGTGTGGTAAAGAATAGACATTTTTAGATACAACTGATGGCCAATAAGGATTCTATAAAGTCTCGATAAAGCTGAACAGACTCCCCTCGATAATTTTTGAAAGCTTTGTAGCGTACCCATGAAACCAGATTGGCGTTTAAGTCATTCAGAAATTCATACAAGCTCATAGGGGTTCTCATACCCCTAAACACACTAAAACGTAGAATTAAAAAAATGAAGCTAGAGGGGAAAAGGGCTTTTAAGGTAAATAAACGCCCTTTAGACAAGCATTAGAGGTGGTTGGAAACCCTTTAGTCTTTAGAGATCCCATGAAACACTTATAACACCTATAAGAGATTCCAAAGGCTCAAATTTTAGTCCTTTGAAATGTAAAATAAAATCTGGCTTAGCCCTTCAAAAAGTTCGTAGCATTGGCGATTTTTGACATATAAATTAGCTACTTGTAAGGGCTCGTAAATACTTGCAAACTCGCTTTTGAAGGTTATTTAATGGTTGAAGGTCTCACCATACCTTCAAATAGCCATCTCTATCGAATTTTATACCAGCAGCTTTAAACTTTTGCTCCCATTAAATTGAAAAGCTAACGAAATCTCGAAGAAAGGATTTCGTGAATAGGCTTATCGGTAACCTCAAGACTGCCAGGGCGCTAATTTAAATTTAACACGACCGCGCGAGTACTCCTCGCTTTCGTAATTAGTGCGCAGCGGCTCGTGTACTTTAAGTCGATTGTATGCAAATCAGTTTACGCAAAAACCATCATTAACAGATTCACAACTTTAAACGGACAGGAATAACTACTTTTTCTGAAAGCCGTTCCGCGCGCACTTTCAGTTTGACGTTTACAAATGCGCGGGCGAATCCCGATAATGGCGTAATCAAAATGCGGTTCGCGATTTGCATGGATGCGTCCGATTGATACATGTGCTGATTTGATGTGCGCTTAATGAGAATTTTTAAATATTGCGATCGGAATCGCGGTAAACAAAATGGACGTGGTGCGAAATTATAAAATAAAATTACACAGGGTACCTACTATTTTCAATACGCAATGGATCGCTATGAAATTGTCCCCCTAAAACCATACTCTGATGTAACTAACTTGTACGATTATACAAATACTCTGATGTAATCAACTTGTACGGGCGCCTTACAACCACTTTCATTTCTTATTGAACTAATTTATAAGCATAGCATTAACAAGATTATTTTTGAGAATCAAGTACTGGGATACTATCTGTTGATTACATCCATTTTCCAAATTAACCCACCAATATATTTCCCTTTTATTACTGATTTATTAATATATGTCGTTTACGATTCGGTTCGTCGCTTGTACAAAATCTGCAAGCTCGACACTACCGCTTGGAAGATGTCCAGCTCATCCCGCTTCTTTCGCCGTTGCCAATTTATCCCTCCTCATAAATATCTTAAGTGGGCGAAATGTAAAACCTTACGTCGCGTAATGGGAACCAACAACTTTGTTTAATTAATCGAAGCAGCGGATTTTTACGCGTGGATTTCTGCGAGAGACGCGAAAAGTATGTATAGTAAAAGTAACAAAAGGATCATCCGGGATAATCCCGCCAACACCATTGAAGTTCATTCCACGGTGACGTAGGGATTCGAATCGTCAATTCGGTTACGTCTTTCAAAGTTTGCAAAGGTTAGGAAAACGTGTTTCTCTACAGTATAAACTTACCCAAAACTGTGAGTTGAATTTGTTTGCCGGTAACGACAAATCCAAGAGCATCCTCCGCTTCGCACTGCCAACGTCCGTCGTCCTCAAGCCGTACATTATCAATCAACAGATTCCCACTGCTATCCACCAGAAACCTATGTCCACTAACACGTTTATTATTAATATTGTCCTTAAGTATCGTCTGTACAATCTGGCCGTCTTTCAGCCAAATGCTCGTGCTGAAATTAATATTGACGGCGCATTCGAGCGTTAACTTCACGTGCTGTTCGGCGTATATCTGAATAAACCCCTGGTCGTGAACACTGGGGCTGTTTTCATAGCTAAAGTTCGTACGACTGTCAGCTCGGATTGAACGATGATGTGTATTTCCGGAGTGCGGATGACGGGTGTGCGTTTTTGTTTCCGCTTGACCTAGAACAAAACATTGCGTTACTTTTGGCATTACGCGACGCTTATGATTTATTGCCGAATTTAAACTCGCGTAATGGTGGAAATTTTTTTCCCGAGTTTTCGCCGAGAAATTTCTGCAATTCCCGTTTCCGCGTATACGGACTATTTCTAGATAATTTTGGAGGGCTAAAGAGGAAAGTGGGCAATTGCAGGAATTGCTAACAGTGTTTAAATTCTCTCGAACAATATTAGAGAAATTTGGCGCATGACGGTGAAAATTGGGGGGTTTATTAAGTTGTAAATAATTAAAATTACTCGGTTATTGTCTGTTTTGCGAGATATTATGAATGCCTTTCCTGCTTGGAACGCTTCCAAGGTAGTTTACTGAAAAACGCCAACAGTTGTTAGTCACACTCTTACGTAGACTGCCGTTCGTTGCCAAAAGGCTCGAAGGCGATTGGAAAAAATTACGCGTGAGGAAGGATAGTAACCATAAATCTTTCCTAAATACTGTAACAGATTTATTGCTTAAAATGTGCGTGCAGATTATAATTTTAATGAATAGAACGACCACAGGAAAATCTGTACGGCTAGGCGATGACATTCCTCGCCATAGGTCGTTTACATCAAACCGTGCCATCCGCGGTTTTACTTTGTCCATCGAAATGGGTCCACAGCCCACAGGGTAAGTTTTCTCCGTTTCAGCCAGATGAGGTCTTAATTTTCAGTTCGCCCAGCATCTATGCATCCAGAAAAGAGCACATCGGCGAGGTCTTTTTCTATACGCAAGAGAATAATTTAATTTAGTCTGGTTAACGATCATTAACGACATATACTTACCTCCAATTTAGTTTTTGTTCGCCTTTTTTGCGGGTATGTAAATTTAGCAGACGGAAACATCCTTTTTACCATTAAAAGAAAGATAAACACTATATCTTCGCCTGAACCTACTTCCTCTTGCTACCAGGAGAAAATAACTGATGAGGATGTGTTTTCTTATGCTCAAACACCTTATTCACGCTTATTATTCCTAAGCCCAAAGGAAAAATGTTCGGTTAAACATTAACCTTCGTATCAGGAGAACATGACGTGCAAAAAATGTTCTTGCCTCACGAAGTATCTGTTTCAAAAATGTACTGTACATTTTTTCTGGGAACGTGAGGACATAATAAAGGGGAAGGTTCTTTGCTGTGTCCAAGACACTTCACAACTTTTTCCATCAGGAGGACATAACGTTCAGAAAGATTTGTAGACACAGAGACTCTGCTTGACACGTTTTCTAATTTCTTCTGGTTATTACAAGTACGTACTACACGAGGATAACTTTCTGTGTACTTAGAAAAACACCTTACTGCCGGTTAAAGACGTTTAACCAGGGCGAGGAGTTGCTCCTGCATTTAATACACGGAGTATTCATTTAAATTTTCTCTTGCTATCGGGAAAGAAAAGGAGTCAATGACCATTTTCTAACTCTTCTAACTTATGTTAGAACGGCAGGGGCCAAGGGTTTCAAAAGTACCCAAAAAGTGGCACTTGATATCCTATAACACTAAGTACTCTTATGATTATGATGGTATTCTGGAAAAAGTCATGAGTGCTGGAACTGTCGTGTATCCTATCCCCCAAACCCACCGGTAGCGCCATCATTCACAAACCAGTCGTTCGAGAAGGGCTTTAGGTCCTCTACTTTTTTGTGGCTCCGTCTCCTTACCACAGAGAACGTAGAACAGGAAGACTGGGAGGGAGGGTATGGAATACTCCCCAGCAAAAAAGATCCGATGATTACTATATGCACATCAGTACCCACTTATGGTGGTGTTCTGGAAATAGCAATGGAGGTGTCGTGTATATTGGGGGGTGTTTAGGATTCAGAACTGCCATGACAGTTGCCGGGGAAGGATTACGAGATTATGAGGGGGGGGGAGGTATCGCAAACCCCTCAGACCCCCCGAAGTATTTATTTATTTTTTTATTTGTTTGTTTGTTTGTTTATTTATTTATTTATGTATTTATTTATTTACTATCTCTCTTGTCCTGGACCTTCAAGAGACGTTGAACCAGGGGATCTGGGGGTATGGCAAATACCCCAGCAACGAAAGGGTCGAACAAAGCTGGGCAAAATACTTTCAAAAAGTAATTGAATACTAAATAGTAAATACTTTACACAAATCAAAGGTATTTGAATACTAAATACTTTTACGTCCATCAGCACAAGCGAATACTAGATACAGATACATTGAAAAGTATTCAAATACTTAAAAAAATAAGTACTCAAATACTTTAGAATGTATTCGAATACTTTCAAAACTATTCGAGTACTGTCAAAAGTATTCTAATACTATCAAAGGTATTCGAATACTATAAAAAGTATTCAAATACTTATCACTCAAATACATTAAAAATTTAAAATAGTATACAAGATAAAAGGCTTAATACTACTTAAAAAATCAAGTTATACTTTGTATAGGGTTACCTTTTTTTATATTTCTAGTGTTATATACAAATTTAAGGGGAGTAAAAGCGTATTATTATTATTATTATATTAATATATAGGAGGTACCTACCAGGACCTTTCTTATACCAGTTATATCCTTAAGAATACGTGTACCAGTTTTCAAAGCGATAGTACGTCGTGCAAATTACATGTACGCCTTTCTGAAATTAATCCTAGCGATTTTGGTACAGATCCATTTTGGACCATCCGTTTGTCTGTGTGCATGATATTTTGTATCGGATTTTTATATTTGATTTTGTGACAATGGAAACTTTCCCTAAACATTTCTAAATTGTTCTAAAATATTTGAATAACTTAAAAGTACTGCCTTTTTTTGAGGCCGGAAAAAAAATTGTCTGAGATCGACCGGCAAAAAACATTTTCCTATAGAATTTGGCCCGTAGAATCCATAATTTCAAAGAGTTCCAAGATTGGGCTACTAGTTCAAAAGTTACAGCCCTTTGAATTTTTTTTCGAAATTGGTTTCTAGTCTATAACTTTTGATTGAGAAACCTAATCGAAAAAGTACGAATTGTTTTGGATTCTACGCACCAAAATTAATAAGAAAAAGTGTTTTCCCGAGAAATTTTGCTGTAGTCGATTTTTGGTAAAAAAGGAAGGTTATACACTGCCTTTTTTTGAGGCCCGCAAAAAAATTGTCTCAGATCGACCCGGAAAAAAAATTTTCTTATAGAATGTGGCCTGTAGAATCCATAATTTCAAACAGTTCCAAGATTGGGCTACTAGTTCAAAAGTTACAGCCCTTCGAATTTTCTTTCGAAATTGGTTTCTAGTCTATAACTTTTGATTGAGAAGTCTGATCGAAAAAGTACGAATTGTTTTGGATTCTACGCACCAAAATTAATAACAAAAAGTGTTTTCCCGAGAAATTTTGGTGTAGTCGATTTTTGGTAAAAAAGGAAGGTTATACACTGCCTTTTTTTGAGCACCGAAAAAAAAATTGTCTCAGATCGACCCGGAAAAAATTTTCTTATAGAATGTGGCCTGTAGAATCCATAATTTCAAACAGTTCCAAGATTGGGCTACTAGTTCAAAAGTTACAGCCCTTTGAATTTTCTTTCGAAATTGGTTCTACTCTATAACTTTTGATTGAGAAGTCTGATCGAAAAAGTACGAATTGTTTTGGATTCTACGCACCAAAATTAACAAGAAAAAGTGTTTTCCCGAGAAATTTTGGTGCAGTCGATTTTTGGTAAAAAAGGAAGGTTATACACTGCCTTTCTTTGAGCCCCGAAAAAAAAATTGTCTCAGATCGACCCGGAAAAAAATTTTCTTATAGAATGTGGCCTGTAGAATCCTTAATTTCAAACAGTTCCAAGATTGGGCTACTAGTTCAAAAGTTACAGCCCTTTGAATTTTTTTTCGAAATTGGTTTCTAGACTATAACCTCTAATTGAGAAGTCTAATCGAAAAAGTACGAATTGTTTTGGATTCTACGCACCAAAATTAATAAGAAAAAGTGTTTTCTTGAGAAATTTTGGTGCATTCAATTTTTGGTAAAAAAGGAAGGTTATACACTGCCTTTTTTTGAGCCCCGTAAAAAAAATTATCTCAGATCGATCCGGAAAAAAATGTTGTTTTAGAATGTGGACTGTAGAATCCATAAATTCAAACACTTCTAAGATTGGGCTACTAGTTCAAAAGTTACAGCCCTTTGAATTTTTTTTCGAAATTGGTTTCTAGTCTATAACTTTTAATTGAGAAGTCTAATCGAAAAAGTACGAATTGTTTTGGATTTTACGCACCAAAATTAATAAGAAAATGTGTTTTCTTGAGAAATTTTGGTGCAGTCAATTTTTGGTAAAAAAGGAAGGTTATACACTGCTTTTTTTTGAGGCCCGCAAAAAAAATTGTTTCAGATCGACCCGGACAAAAAATTTTCTTATAGAATGTGGCCTGTAGAATCCATAATTTCAAACAGTTCCAAGATTGGGCCACTAGTTCAAAAGTTACAGCCCTTTGAATTTTCTTTCGAAATTGGTTTCTAGTCTATAACTTTTGATTGAGAAGTCTGATCGAAAAAATACGAATTGTTTTGGATTCTACGCACCAAAATTAGAATAACTCCCAGCAACGAAAGGGTCGATGACTACGCACGTCAGTATCCCCCTGCGGCTGTATTTTGGAAATAGCAATGGAGATCTCGTATACAGTGGGGGCAGACCCCCCGGTAGCACCTTTCACAAACCGTTTAGGATTCAAAACTCTCATGGCAGTTGCTGGGGAAGGATTATGAGATTCTCTTTTCGGTATCTCAGAAAACGTAGAACAGGGGCGGTCTGGAGGGGTACGGAACACTTCCCAGCAACGAAAGAGTCCACTATTATGCACGTCCGTGGGTACATGCATTGTGGTGGGGTTCTAGAAATAGCAATGGGACTGTTTAGGATTCAGAACTCTCTCTCACGGCAGTTGCTGTGAAGGTATTCTGTTTTCCGTAAAACATAGAGCCGGGGGTGGTATGGAACACTCCCCAGCAACGCAAGTGTCGTATTATACACGCGAGTACCCCCTTATGATGGTAACGGGACTGTCATGTATACTTTGGGGTATTCCTTTAACATCCCCCCCCCCCCCCCGTCCCGGGTCACGGTGTGCATCCCAACCCCAAGTTTGTCGCCTCCTTTTTCGTGCATATAGGCTTATGCTTAAAGAATTGAGCTCCAAGTTTGCTGACATACCCTTGAACTACGATGCTATGTTGCCAAACCTCCTATTTTTGCCAACGTTCAACCTTCCACTTTTGTCTTCAGGCTTTATCATTCAGTCATCGTTTCTGCCTTCGCACTTCAGTTTTCGGTCTTCGGTTTTCACTTTTTCCTCTTCACTTTTCAGTTTACAAATCGCAATTTTCAGCCGTCTGTTTAAGGTACTTTCCTTTGTATTTATAATGCAGAGAAAATCCTTTTGTACGTTGTAAAAATTCATTTTGTAACTTTAGGGTAGGTACTTATATAATAGAATGTAAGATAAGGCGGGTAGGTGCGCGTATATATAGCTAAAAGTGGTGAGCGGAGGCGAAATTAGTACTCGGCCCTTGGCTTTCAAAGTGTAAGCGGTTACTTTGCTTAGGCGTCACGCGTTAAAAT